TAATGCCAACTGGACAGGGACTGGGACCTTGTTGGCTAAAATAAGCCTTTTATCTTTACAAATTGATTACCTTGGGCATTTAATATTTTATTACATTTGCTTAGTTATTATATAGGGACATGAGTGCCACAGTCCATGTGTGGAGGTCAGAGGACAACCTAATGGAGTTTGTTCTCTCCTACCATATGGGCCCAAGGATCAAACATGTCATCAGGCTAAGTAGCAAGAGCCTGTACCCAATGAGATGCCTCACCAGGCCATCATGGGTACTTTTAATACTGGCACGTATATATTGAGTGCATGCCTATGGATTTTCTGGAGCTGAAGTTACAGACAATTGCAAGCCCTCTGATGTGGGTTCTAGGAATTGAACTCTGAAGAGCAACAACTGCTTTTAACTGTTGCGCTGTCATTGCAAATTCATCCTCCCACGTGTCAAATGAACAAAGATGAAGCAGGTCTTCCGTGGTGGACCAGTGATGAAAGTCTTCTCATTTGCTATTTGTTAAAATCTCTTCTGTGAAAGACCCTGCACCAGTTTTGTGACTTCTTTTACTTTTATAATCCTCTGAGGATGATGAACCATGTATTAGATCCTCAGGAAAGCTCTATCCAATGATGAATATATTAAGAACAATTATTGGGTAAGGATTACATTCACAATGTTCTGATGTGGGATAACGCTCGTATAGATTTGTCACTCGTATTGGTTTTGATAAAACGCTGATTGGTCAGGCAGAATGTATAGGCGGGGCTTTCAGACTAGGAGAATTCTGGGAGGAGGAAAGGTAGAGACAAATGCAGAGGAAGCAAGATGAGGATGCCTTACTGAGAAAAGGTACCGAGTCACGTGACTAAACATAGATAAGAATTGTGGGTTAATTTAGCCTCTGTGCGTTTATTTGGGACTAAGGGGCTATGGCACTGGGAAGGAGAGAAACTTCCGTCTCCCATGTTCGGTCCATTTGTATTTGGCATATCCAGAGAAAATACTCTACTATCTGTTCTATCTTGATGAATCTAAAGTTTTATACCTAAACCACTTTTTTTCATAACTTGTTTTACCAACCTAAAACTATCTTTTTAGACCTCAAAACATTTTCTTAGATAAACAACTTAAACTTTTATGTTTTTCAACCTTATGCACTTTATATCTCTTTTGTGAGTTTTGTTTGAATTTGGTAACAAGGAAAACTGTAGCTATAACTATCTCATCTTCAATTCCACCAGAGACCTAAGAAGGATATAATATTAGCTGAGCAGACAGAAAGTCCAGAGCAAACACCTTCCAATACTACAGAATGACAGAGACAGATGGCTGCCTAGACAGTCACCTAAGTTTCTTCTGAAATGTTGGGGTATCCATCTTCAGGCTACAGGACTATCTGATAGATTTTTCTGTGAAGGAGGGATTTTGAAGGACTCTCCTACCTTGTCTTTGCAATTTGGACAGCATACTTGTCAGCAGTCAAAGCAAGGGTAGTTTCTTGCCTCGAGGCTAACTTTGCAAACTCCATATGTAGGTTCTTCAATGTCTATCATCTTTTCCTTTTAAAGTAGATTGGTGCTGCCAGGAGGACCAATTGTCAAGAAAAGCCTTATGTTATTAAAACATCTTAAATGCCATATTCTGTAAGTCTTCGAAGTTATTGAAGACCACATTCCTATCTAAAATATATGTGTTTACCCTTAAAAATATGCCTAATATGATTACAAGTTTGATTGTTATAGATGACTAACTGCTAACCTGCATTTCTTAATTATCCTAAATAGTTTGTAATAGTAGCTTTCAAGGACTAGAACTTTACATTACTTTTTTAAATAGCTGTATAGATACAGTACATTAAACAAGAGTAGAAACATATATGCAATATAACAAAAATAAACTTAAATGTGTATCAATATTTAAGAATACTTTAAACAAGAGTAGAACATATATACAGTATAACAAAGTAACAGGAATAACCTTAAATTTGTATCAATATGCAAAATTCATACCAATGTAAAATATTTGACTAGTAGTTGCTCTTAAGTCTAAAATTAGATTCAATAATATATCCTTTTATACTATCATTCCCATATCCCCTCCCCCCCTTTTTTTCAGAAAGAATTCCTTGAATCCAACTTCCTTTGCTTAGATTTCTACCTTACCAGTAACAACTTGTAACCAAGCAAAATAAATGATGACAAATGTCTACTGACTAAATGGACACTGAGTCTTCTACTAGGTTATCAACTTGAAGTCAGAAACAGAACTATGTTTAGTTCTGAATATTGCCATGGCTACCACCAGAACATCACTGGCTCAAGTTTCCTCTAATGTAATTTTGTGCTTAGGCTAGAGAATCAATAGATGGAAGATTATTTTAAATGCTCCCTCTTCAACTTGAAGCCTTTTGGATGCTCTGTACCTCAGACAGGACTACTTTCTCTGCTTCTGACTCTTCTCCAGTAGAAAACTCTTGAATCAAGTGTCTAGCTTTGTGGAGGGACAGAGAGTTCCCAACAGTAGTATGTTTCTGTAATTTAGGGATGATACGAAAAGCATTTCTGTGTATAAAGTAACATTTCAACTGGTCTGATAAGTCAGCCAATAAACCTTTTCTACCAAGCTCAGAGAGGCTACAGCATGAGATGAACAAAAGGACTTTTCAGCTAGTGTTCCTGCCCTTCTGTTGCTCACGTGGCTGTGGTGGGTGAGCAGTCTGGGGAGATGCTGCACCCCGGGAAGGTTTCATAGAACATGCAGTAGACATGGCACCGCTGAGGTTAAACAATGCATTCGTGCTGGGTAGAGGGATATTCTAGATCGATGCTGGGTTTGGGGTAAGTTCACTGAAGGCTGTAACACACAGGAGCATTATTGGATATTCAAGGCAATTGATTTCTAATTTTCTTGCAAGAGTAGGAAATGAGAGCTGATAGAAAAATGGACAAAAAATTACTTAATAGCGTTCATTTCTCCACTGAGGTAAATGGATCTATAAGTGAAGTAACATTATTGTATACACAACCTTATTATGACATTAAATGAGGAAATGACTGTCTATGGAGTCTTTAAATAGAAATGGTGCCTAAAAAGTCCAGCAATTCATACCTATTCTTATTGGTATTGTCATTATTATTTTGTAATTTGCCTGTTGATTTTTTTTTACTGGCCCTTATAGTTGGGAAGTTCTTTCTTTGTGTTGACAGCTCTTACTGGAATAATCTGATTTTCTCTTTTGTGCACCATTCAGACATGTCATTCTCCTCGTTTTGACAATAATAAATTTAGTCCTCAGCACTCTTTCCTCCAAGTGAAATAATTTTTAATTCTGTTCATCTTTTCTTTTAAGTATGATACTTGGAGAAAGAACTTTCCAAAATTCTTGTGTTGTTTTGATCTGAGCCCAGAGGCAACTGAATGGAGCCATCACCAGGTACTAATTAGTGAATCCCATACAGCTCTAATTCATCCAGACATAAAGGGAGCTGCCCACACACTTTTCCCTGGAAAATGACAAATTCACGTTAGTTCTTCCCTCTACTCCAAAGGGGCAGACATGTCCTTGCACAGACCTTTCCATGTAGGTTTTTAAAGTTCAGAGATGCAGAAGGAGTTGTGGTTTGGCTGACTCTTTGGTTACCTGAAATTCCTATATTAACCTTCTCCACTGCATCTCAGATTCTCCGGTTGTAGAGGGGACATGGCAGCTGAACGTAGAATTGATGGAATAATTCATTCCCAGAGTAGAAGCTATTACATTCCAGTGTGGTGGGAGGAATATTCGATCACTGACATACAGACAGGTTCCTCAGGTTCTGGGATTTCTTTGTGTTTCATTTAGATCCTACGAATGTAATGCATTTTGGCTGCCCCAACTTTTCTTCTGCGCATGATTGTAATTCATGCTCCAATAACATGCTTTCTTTTTAAGTCATATGTATTACTTTCAAAACCAGCTTGTTTCTGACCATCATCTATAGTGACCTGCCTTTTGTAAACGACTAACTTTGATGTGCACCTTCGAGTTAATCTGGTAGCTTTTAAGAAATGATGCACAGGGCACTACCCCCTCTATCTTTGGATTGTTCCTTGCAGTGATGAGTTACAGGAAATAGTGCCATGGTCACCTGCTGTATTTGTGTGTATGATTGTGTGTATGTGTGCTCACAGGGTGGAGAGCAAGGTGTCGCTGAGCTTTGGATTAGAAAGATGGCTTTGCGTTTGTTTGACTGTTTGAGCAGCCCAAAGGGTTCTGTGTACAAGCCCTGCCTTTGCTAACTCCTGTTATTATCTTGCTGTGGAAGGTCATGCCAACTGCTTAATTACATGGAAAGTTATAAAACAGCTCGGGCAGCAGAACATTGCTCAGCTGTGGGTTCCTAAAGGGAAAAAAAAAAACTCTTCTTGCAACGAGGATGGCTGCCAGCCATCAGGCATGTCTGTCCGCCCATACCTGCATGTATAGCTCTTGTATAAAAGGGTGCCCATGGCTGGGCAGAGTCCTGGATTCACCTTTCTAACAGAGCCATTGGTCATAGCACAATAGAACCATTTCAATCGGCAAGAGATTAAATCTGAGCTCTCCAAGTCAGACTTTTCCTTTCATTGAATGTAAACAATTAAACCTCTCTATGGAGGTTTTCCTGCTCTCTCTGTGGTGTACCCCAAAATAACCATTGGGAACACTGAAAACGGGTGCCATTTAAAGTTCATCTGACTCACCTGCCCCTCAACCATCACCCTCAGTGGGAAATGATTGCTCATAATCTGAGTTTGTGCTGGGCAGGGAGGGCTCTTCTTTGGGTTCAGTCTCTCAGGTGCCTGGCTTGGCTTCCTGCTCACCTTCAAAGTACACAGGTTTTGGCCCTTTGCACATTGCATTGCCTTATCTGCCCTCACAGAGAAGACTCTAGTGGAGTCCTCTGGGGAATTCGTGGCTGAGAGACTTCTGTCCCGAAGAACCCTTTTCACAGGAGCAAATAGGATCATCTCTAACTCTTTGCTTCTACAGGAAACGGCTTGCCCTCTGTGGAGGGGTGGGGTTCGCTCTGATTTCTCTGAAAACATTTGGAGGAAGAAAGAGCCGGGCCCCAAAGCCAAAAGACAACTTTAACCCTCCACTTGCAGAGCCCAAGGTCAACCAAAGGGCACACAGGCAGTACTGAGACCAGAGGGCCGGCCAGCTTTCTTCTCCAGGCTGCCTCTGAGGCTGCAGACATCGACAGCAGGAATCCAGGCCCCAAAAGGCTCACTTGCTGGCCCCAAGGCTGACTGGGTACCTGGAATTGGTGAAGTGGCCTGAGGTGCCCGGCGGGGCTCAGAGGAGACACTGATACAGACCCCAGCTCCCACGGCAGCGCCGCCCCTTCTTGAAATCCAATTTAGACCATATCAAAGTTTTCATAAAGACATTCCTGATACCATTGTGCTGTAAATCCTGTCTGATCCGACCTTCAAATACTTATGCAAACTGAAATATGTCTGGAAAGAAATCAAAACAAAACAAATATGCCACACCATCGCTTTGTGGCAGTCACCTCCTTCCTCATTTGCATTTCAGCTCAGACCTCTCCAACCCGCTCCCAACTGTTTAGGCCAGTTAATTAGTCATAATTGCAGCGACTGTTTCTCTGCATGCGATGATGGCCTTACATCTGGAAGCCAGCTTAACCCAGAGTTTTCAGCGTGTGTGAACTGTGTTGGTAGCATTATTTTTGTGAAAACTCATTACAGATAAGTGCAGTTAGGTTAGCCTCCGTCAAGACCTGCTGTAGCAATGATTTGCTTTCTTCAAACGTCTCCAGGTTGGTGTGTTCCAGGAGCTGTGACCTCCTCCTCCGCCTCCACTGTCATTACAGTGGGCTGTTTTCCCCAGGAGCATTTTGGGTGAAGCACACTAACTCAGTTTCGGATGCAGTTTGCTAACGATAATTTGCGTCACTTGCAAGTTGTAGCAACATCGAGATCTCGTGGTCTATCTTTTGGATCACGACACCATATAATTAGAGAGAGTGGGAAATGGGAAAGGAGGGTGACTGTGAACTCATATTACTGCTCTGAAACCAAAAGGAAGGCAAGAGGAAGTGGCTATTTGTGCTAAGGATGAACTGCTCTTACATTCCTACAAAGGAACTTGCAACCTTGCAAATCTAAAGTGGAAATAAATGGTCTTTGTTCTCATAAGGTTTGCTTGCCTAAATTATTAGTGGTTTTAATTTATTCAAGTGTATTGAACACTAACACAGAGCTATGTTTGGAGAGATGAGAATAAGTCGTTGGTAGTAGAGATCTTGCATATTGTAGGGTTGCATTCAAATACCACACCTCATTGGGGATTTATTCAGTCTTGTGAAATAGGCAGGGTATATACCCCTTATCCCATTCAGCAGATGAGGAACTTGAAACCTGGAAAGAGTAATCAACTCACCAGCCTTTAGTCCCAAAGCTGGTAAGAGCCAAGATTAGGAACCAAGGACCTTTCTTCTTCATATCTTAAAGACTGAAGGGTGAGGAAGTAAGACAAAATATTCCAGTAAAAACAAAATGAATATATATATACATATATATATCCATACATAAAATGTATATATCCATACATACATATATATTTGCTTTATTCATTATATTGTATCACATATATTAATTATATATTGCTATATCATATATATGCATATATATGTCTCAGGACTGAATAGAAATGTGGGGTGGTGTCACATTGTCCCCTGCACACAGTTGCCCTTTCTTGTGCAGAGTGAGAAGAGGTGGTGGCTGGTCCCCCAGTGCTCTTCAGTGGGAATGCTAAGAAGAGGGTAGGATGCAGTAAATCAAGAGATGTGGGCAGCGTCAAGTGTGTTAGGCCAAAGCAATAATGAGGATGACTGCTCTGTGACCAGAGGCAGGGCTGGCCTTCTCGGAGGGTCACCAGCTCAGTCATCAGTTGGAGCCCCATGCTTAGCAGGTCCCAGCTGTGGGATGAACGCTCTCCTGCTGCCATCCTGGAGCTCTCCTCTTTTGAACAGCAGGCCCTACTTTGGTGTTTCGCTCCTTGTAACAGCGTGGCAGGTCCTGGCCAGGGGTTTTACTCTGTTTATTCCGCTTCTGTGCCCGAGTGCTAGTGTTAGAATAATAACTGAACACCAGAGCAGTGTGAGGAATTATGGGCATTAAACGGATGAGCTGCCAAAGGAAATTGTTTTCCTTATACATCCCTTGACTTTAAAGAATTCCTTAGCTGACGGCCCAGGTTGGCCAAAGACATCCACAAGCCCAACTGGCACCGGTATGCTAAGTGAATACTTGGTGGAGAAATGGGAGAGAAGGCCGAACTGAAGAAGTGAAGGAGGTTTAGAAAAGGCTGATATGGGTGACCTGCTTGCCACCTGGGGCCATGGTGACATCCAGGCCCAGGCTGCTGCCAAGGGCCATGTCTGGATTCATGATCCTACTCAGGCAGGGTCTGTGTTGACATCCATGGCCCATGTTGCCACCTAAGACGACATGGATGCCCAGGGTATGGGCTGCCACCTGTGGCCATGTTGGTGTCTGGCGCTTGTGCTGCCTCAAGGGCCATGCTGATCTGAGTGACCTGTTCTGCCACCCCATGCCATGTTGATAGCTGAGCCCAGGCTGTAGCTGAGGACCATGTCTGGGTCCATGATCATACTGCAGACAGGTCTATGTTGATGTCCATTGCTCCTCTTCCCACCAAAGGCAGTATGAACACCCAGACATGCCACCTGAGGCCATGTTTGTGTTTGAGAGCCATAGAGTAGCTGTGCCATACTGATCTGAGTACCCTGTGCTGCCACCTGGGACCATGGTGACATCAAGGCCCAGGCTATTATTGGGGACTATGCCTGGGAATGTGGTCTTGCCACCGCTGGAGTCTAGGCTAATGTCTATGGCCTGTGTTGCCATCAAAGACCACATGTTGCTGTCTGAGGGCTGTGCCACCCCATGGCCATGTTGCTGTCTGAGGGCTGTGCCACCACTTGGGCCATGCCAATCTAGGTGGCTTGCACTGCCAACCAAGGGCCCTGGTGACATCTGGGTTTGAGCTGCTGCCAAGGGCCATGTCTGGGTTCATGACCAGAGTGTGAGTTCATCCATGTGTCCTGTTACCACCGAGGGCCAGGCAGATGCTAGGGTCTGGCCAGTCACTGAGACCATGTTGGTGTCAGAGGGTCACGCCATTGCCAGGGCCATACTGACCTGGGTGGCCTGTGCTATCCTGGTGATGTGTGTGTCATGGTCCTGCTGCAGTTGGGTCTGTGTTGATCTCTGTGGCCCATGGTACCACAGGGGGCCATAGGAACCATGTGTTGGATTTGAACCAAAGCCTGGCTTCCTAGCAATCCCTTCCCTGAGCTGTTTTGCTTCTCAGAGTCCTCCAGCTGATGTTCCTCCCCAAAGATGAAAACTTTTACAGGTTTCTGTGGTGTCAACTCTCAGACAGAGCTGACAGTGCCCAGCCACTGCTTCTAATCCAAACAGCTCAGGGATGGAGGCATGGGGGAGGTAAACTTGGTGATTAACTCATGTGGACTCTGGAAGTACTGAGCAAATTGGAAGAAGGTGACTCAGGACTAAGTAGAAATGTGAGATGTCATTTCTATCGTCACCTCCACAAAGCTGCCCTTCTTGGTGCAAAGTGACAAGAGGACAGTGGCCGGCCGGTCACTGTTCTCCAGTGCAGTCAGGAAGTACTTTTTGCATCTAAATTGCTATGACCCATGCAACATCAGAGCCCTCTGCTTCTAGGTTTCTGAGAGTCTGCCATCACCCCATCTGCGTAAGGGAGGGAGCCGGGGCTTTAGGTCCCCCCCTTTCCAGGTACTGCCCTTTAAATGGGTGGACAAAGCACTTCTATTGAGTTTTCTGTTGACTATTGCTTTGTCCTATAGTTCAAGCCAGTTTCTTTATACCCATTTTATATAAAGTAACAGGTATTGAATTTCACTCTGGTTCATTTCAGGCTTATCTTCCCCTTATCTGGGGTTCCCTGAACTTTCAGGAGGTAGTCCCATTTAAAATGTGTGCTTTCACGGGGACTGTTTACTCAGCCTCTTCAAGCATTAATGGTAATTGGCTGTCAACAGAGATTTTAAAAGCTGAGGGGGCGAGGGAAAACAAATTTGAATAAATGTCTCTGACCAATGTCCTTGAATGCAGGCTTTGTAAGATGCCTGAGGAGTCCCTCTCCCTTCTGAGGTTTGCTGTTCTGAAATGGAGGTTGAAGATTACAAGCCCACTCTAGTATTTGGCTCAGGCAGGCCTCGCCCTTCTCCCTAGTTTCCTCTGAGTTCCTAAAGGCGGCCACCAAGGTCCAGTTATCAAAGTATTAAAGTCCAGCAATCAGAAGTCCCCTTTGGTTCACCTAATTAACATGTCCGTTCAAAATATACGACCACACAGACCTCTCCTTTCCCTCTTCTTAAATATTACACCTGCGAGGTCATTTAGCTTCTGGGGTCCGACTGAGTCAGAAAGCAGCCACCTAGTGTTTCTTCCCCATTTAATGAAGGAGCTCTGAAAACAGGTGCATGGGCGTGGTTTGTGCCTAATCCAGGGCCCAAGGGGAAGCCCCTGTTGTGCAGAGATCTCCTTCAGGTGTCTTTCTGGGGGAGGCTGAGTTACATTTCACCTAGCTTCTCATGCCTGCAACTTGCGTTCTTGTCCTCCCAAGGGACAATTCTGTCTCCGCCTAGTGATTGGCTTGTTTACTGTACAAAGTAATAAGGTGAACACTTTGATAAAACAAAGGGAGACTAGCAATTTGTCTCAGGTGGAGTTTCTGGAAGTAGACCTGAGGTGAGGGTTTCTATGCGAGGGATTCAGTAACAAAGCACTCTGGGAAGAAAAGATTACAACACTGGGCTACTAGACAGCTCAGAGGAGAAAAAGAGCAATGGGTGATTTCAGACAAGTGCCACTGGTAGCTGAATTTGCAGACAATTATGAAGTCTTGATTGCTTTGTAGACTGTGTCACCTCAGCAGAGAGAAGGAGCTGGCTAACTACCCTACTGCAGCATGGTTTGGCTATGGCCATTAATCCCACCTAGCAAGAATAAGACCATTACCACAAATTTTGAGCCAAATTTGAGGCAAGCTTTATTAAATATTGGCCAGGATGGACACTGACCAGGTCCATACCTGGGATTCCAAGAGAATTGCTGCGAATCACATTTGTCATGTGCTTTTAAAGACAAACCCCACAAGGCTACATACTTCCTGCCTTCGTCCAACCGGGGGCAAGCATACATCCTGACACACTGCTGCTGTGTACCTCCTGCTGAGGTGTGATCAAGCACATCTTGTACAGTTGGGGTAACAAACCTTGTTTACAGAAGTGAAAACATGTGGCTTGTTATCTTACATGAACAACAGTCCCCGAATTCCAGGAAGTTATAAGTCCTTGGGCAACTGGGGCTTACAGATCAGAGGCATTTTTGTTTTATAGATCTCTTGAGCACAGTAATTTAAACCTAAAACATAATTTTAGTCATCACATGACATCTGTATGGTGTGAATGCGGAGCCCCAGGTGTTTCCTGCCCTGAGTGCTCCCAGCCCACATAATTCTGACAACTCAAGACCAGTTACTTCAGAAGGCTACAGTGAGAAGCTGGCATGAGTTATTTGAGGATACTGCCATGACAACTCTACTGTGTAGTTTCACTTCTGGTTTTAAGATAATGGTGTGTCCATCGCTGGTTCCTCAACATAAAGGATCAATGAAGAGGTCCTGTGATGTGATATTTTGTTTATGATCTAACAAATAAACCTTGCCTGCAGATCAGAATGCAACCACTAGTAAACTGTAGAGGACAGGCAGTTGTGGCCACACCTTTAATTCCAGTACTCGGGCGACAGAGGCAGATGGATCTCTGCGAGTTCAAGGCCACCCTGGGCTAAACAAAGCTCTCTGATTCTCTCTGAAGCTCTAGAGAGGAATATAAGGCAGGAGCTCAGTGTAGTGGAGTCTGAGGGTTTGTGAGACAGGATCGCCCTTACAGAATGGAGGTACAGTTAAGAACTGGCTGCTTGGCTTCTCTGATCTTCAACTTTAACCCCAATATCTGTCTCTGGGATTTTATTATTTGTGCTACAGTCCTGCGTGTATTGATTCATTCAGTTATTTTGCAAATACTGAGTGTGTTCAAAATGCTATTACATTTAGA